TCACCATAGCAGGAGTGTGCACGTCGTTCCATGGCTCAAAATTATCAATTTTGCTTGATCTTACGGTCAGTGAATACGGTAATGCAACCACGATTGATACTATCCATACAATACAGTAACAGACTATTGGGGCAGTTGCTGCTAGGCGCCTGATAATGCAGATATCTAGGGGAAATTTTCGCTGGCAAATAAAAAACGGATTGTTTACCATCTTACGGGACACGTTGTAAGTAGAACTCGATCCATAGCGATTAAAGCAAGTGTTAACGACGACACGAATGTATTCACAGCTTGGACGGATGCCAACTGCATTACACAGCATAAACATTATAGTAGAGTACATAGTTGTACATTTTGCACTTACCACCTTACAGGATATATTCCCGAATGGCCAGAATACATTGGCACTGGTATACAGAGTCACTGGAGCGGTAACCACACATAGCAATAGGTCAGAGCACGCCAAGTTGACGATGAAACTGAATATGCGGAAATGTTTACGGAAATGTCGTAGATCTGCACGCCTAACTCTTTAATTTTTTAGATAATTTTGTTAGTTTTAACCTATGTTCTCTCCTATTTGCTTTAAGATACGACAATCATACTACTTGTTTTGCTTTGCGAGAATCTGCTACACTATAAATGAAGTGAACATTTCCTAAGCCGTACAATGCCGTAATTGCTACATTTGATATTATTTTAGTATCCTTTTCATAATTTACACATAACCTCGTTTTTATGTCCAACGAGATGCGTCAAGAAAAAGAACTATAAGAAGAAATCCAGAATCGGCTAGTCTTTATGAATCCAAAATTCTGCAAAAGCTCTTCGTAAGCACTTAAATCTCCGTTTTAGCAAAAAAAAGGGAAACTGATCTAACGTGTAAAGAAATTGTAATGACGCATCATGGAACAGAAGAGTTTCGAACATTACCTGTTTCTTAGATTCCTTAAATTTGAAGTTCGAATGAAGGCAAATAAGACGACCAAGTTTGCTAACGCTCCAAATGTACATATTATACCATAAAGAAAGACGATTGGAGAGCCTTCCAATTGATTGATCCAGAATATGTTATTCTAAAATTATATAGTTTACTTCCTTCATGGCATCAACAGCTAAAGAACTTGCTGTCCCACCAAGATTTGAAAATAAGGTGTCTATAACATGAAAGTGCGTTATTTTTTGTGAGTTGCAGGCTTGTGATTCTGATTTAATTTGGTTCTTCTCATTGCTTGCGCTTCTATTTTTAGTTCCCCCCTGTTATTGGCTCGCTATTTAAGCGCGTACTTTTTTAAAGGTCGGAAGGTCCCCCAGTTTACTTTATTTAAGGACGGATACGAGCAGCACCGCATTGACGTGCACAGCAATTTACTACTCGGTCAGTTGTCTCGACAAAGTTCCGTCGGAGCCAATTACGTCTGCGTCCCGGTCTCAATTCTCCGTCAAACCGCACCCACTTACTTTTGTCAATGATGGCTATGTGCAAGTTTTGAGTAGCAATGAAACACCATAAAGAGCTCTCTTACGAAAATGAGCTTCATTGAAAAAAAAGGAAAACTTTTCTTTCAGATTTTCAACGATACTTCCAAATGATGCATATGCTCTTTCCATGGACTGCATTGTGCTTACCAGACCGGATATTCCAGTAAAATTTCAGCACATTATCGAGGATAGAAAAAAAATTTGCACAATTGCTGATTTGTAAAAA